CCGCCCCCCCCAGGAAACAGTACTGGCTGAAACCCTGAACTGAAGTCCTCTCCTCACTGCAGACTGTAGTGATGCTGCAGCTGCCGTGCATCATTTTCCACTTTTCAAAGGAGGATGCTCATTGGTGTGGTTGTGACATCAGTCACCCTCCAGCTGTGGTTCACATTCTCAACACTCAAAACTCTCACAGCAAGTCAGAAAGCATCATAATGACAAACGATGTGTCGGTTAGTTTGGTTTCACACACAGACACATTTATTTAGCTTGTTTCAGAAAGTTCAGACAGGTTAAACCCATGAATAGCAACAGAAAGTCTAAAACAGTGTAAACCAGCACCTGCTCAGAGAGAGAGAGACAACTTAATTTTAAAGGTTTATGTGCATTGGTTTGCAGGAGACCCAGATGCTTTGTGGTGAGGCACCCTAGTCCAGAGTGTAGATGTTCTCCTGCACCGGTCTCCTCATCCGGATCTCATAGATGATGTGAGGAGGTTCTTCGGGGGAAAAACTGGAGCAGAAACACAGGCTGGTCAGATTGATGCAAGCAGGCCAGCACAAACCTAGACAACCTGCCTGCAGAGAAGGTGGTGGACTGATGACCTCGGCAGGAAGCAGTCGATATTAGGTGGTGTAGCGTTAGATTAGGGGTTACTAATGAGGTCGACAGTCCACTGTCTCGGTTGCAATCTGCCATCTTTGTCTGCAGCCAGGTCCCTCTCTTACACAAGCATTTCACTAACTTCATTAATCACATTTGTTGTTGTGCCTGACCAAATGCCTGCAAAATCACTGAGGTTCCCCTCAGCTGCACTTTGTGTTTAACCATTTTAATGCCACGCTGTCAAGCACATGTACACTCAGTGAGATTATTAGGTACACCTGTACAATTACAATCTAATACATTACTGTGTATTCATAGGTGTCCCTAATATTCTGAACTCGTCCATGTTTGTAAATGGGCAGGACTCAGTCACAGGGACACATCTGGTCGCAGCTCAGTCCAGTACAACAGCATGGTTAACTACGACCTCAACAACAAACCTGACCGAGGTCATAGTGTGCGTCTCTGGCAACATTATGAGCTTTATTATAACAGATGCTGCTGCCTGTTTTCATTCTAGGTTATTAAATGAAGGCATGGGTCACAGGTTACAGGTGGTCATTACAGTTTGATCTGTGAGATTTTGTTGAGTTGATAAAGAAAGGAAACAAGTGTGCACAGTTAAGTTGAGGTGACTGAGGCTGCTGTCAAACCTAACACCAGGACTTCTCCACTGCTGGGTGGTGATGGGGGGTAATTTCTGGGTCATCAACATCTGCACTGATGAGAAGGATTTCCATGTTCTGTTGGTTTCCTTTTTAAAACTTAGCAGTGTGGGATGTCTTCGAGCCCGGTTCAAAGAATGAGCGTCTTGTTGAAATTGTTGGGGTCACAGCGACAGTAGATGTATGTTATCGGCATAAAAGTGGAAACTGATATTCTCTGCTTTTAAAAAATTATACGTAGTTATAAACACACAGCTGGGTGACAGATGAGCCAAACCCCCACTCAGCGCTCAGCAGGGCCTCGTCGGGGCCAAGTCTCCAGAGCAGCATCAGATCTCCTCTGTCGGAGGAGGAAACCTCCTCCTTCCAAACCAGATCCCCTCACTGGGTCCAACCCACTGTGTCGTCCTCATGAAGCCATTCAGTGACCTAGAGCTGCAGCCATGAGTCAGTTCACTGGTAGAAAATGAACCGGCAGCTATTTAGAAGCAACAGTCGCCAACATGTTCTGGTTCCACCTTCTTTAACACACTCCGCTTTACATCGCTATACACACAATGTGCTGCTGCCATAACAAAAGCAGAATCAGCCTATAGCTAGTTAGTATGTTAGAGGATGGGGGGGGCTTTTATTTACAGTAGACTTTTTCCCAGTGTCTGACATTCTGGGGATAAACATCAATCAGCTCATCAGGACAGTGATCAGCTGATTGATTAGTGACCCTGCTGGTTGGGTTTACAATCAGTTAGGAGGCTCCTCTCACCTGTCACCATCCTGTAGTTTTAAAAAAGTTTAAGTTGAACTCACCAGCTGGCCTTTAAAGCTCTTCTGTGTATTCCACCTGGAGAAGAACACACTGTAAGATTTGGCTTTAGAAACCATTAACGCTCCAGTGAACCAGTCTACACTGTGGTTCAGAGCAAAGATAGTAGTAATAACTCTTGTACAGATTGTGTCAGTCTGTGAGCAGGATAAGAGGAGAGAACGCACGTTTGAAGGCCAAAATGAGGAAAACTGCTGCCAGGATCAACAACACACTGAGGGAGAGAGAGAGGACAGGAACGTTGATCTGAAGGGATAGCGAGGGTAAAGAGTCCTCCACCTAACACAGAGAGAGAGACAGCTCAGACAACCTTAACCCAGATCCACCCGGCCAGGCGTGAGTGTTTGGAGGTTACCCACAGTGATGGTGTCGGGGCGCAGCAGGGTGGAGTTCCTCTTCAGAAGGTCCAGCTGAGATGACAGCAGGGTTTTCCAGTTCACTACAGGGAGACAGACACAGGGTGACACAGCAGACCAAGAGCAGAACACTGAAAAGACAGCAGTGAAAAGCTGCTGAAGAAACCGCTGTACTGTCTAGACCCACGCTTAGCAAATGTGCTGTTGAAACAAGGCGCAGTCACGTCTTTGCACCCAGTAAGCACTTGGGCTGCACCGGGGATCGGCCTCTGCCACTGCCAGCAGCTCGCTCTTCAAAGACTCATTGCGGTCTGGTCCCTTCAGTTCAGAGCTGCACTTTAAATTCTGCACTATAGTTAATTTATTTTGGCAGTATTTTGCTTGTGCTCCTGCCTCCTGTTAGTTACATTTGAGTTTAATGTAAATGTTAACTGTTTTCTTTCACTGTGGTACAGAATTATTTTCATTAACTATCGTTGTGTTTCAGTGGTAATGACAGTGTTTGACCTTTCTGATCAACCAGCAGGTGGAGATGAGGCTGAACGTCGTATCACCTGTGGAGGCTAACGGGTCCATGATTCGCTGTGTGGTTGTGGTCGTCGTTGGAGAAGGAGAACTGGTGACCAGAGCTGAGAAGGAAAAACCTGCATGATACCAAAGTTCTTGGAGGAATGATTACAGAAAGCAAAATCTATTTTGATCAGATCCAGGGAAGTTCTGCATGGCCTTGACAAATGGAGAAATGTCCTGCACCTGTGCATGTGGTGGGAAAGCTGTGCTCACCTTTGACCACTCTCAGATTCATGATGACCTTCTTGTCGTTAAAGATCCCGTCGATGTCCACCCTGCAGCAGTACGGCCCGCTGTCTGTCCGCCTCACGTTCAGGATGTCCAGGTCCATCTGGCCGTCCAGGACGTCCCCCGTCAGTCGGTACCGGTCCGTCACCTGCAGCACCAGGGTCCAGGTTAGACTAGTGTCAGGCTGGGGTGAAGCCAGGTCATTAACAAAAGTTGTAACAAAATACTGTATATTTATGTCCAATCCCATTTCCTGTTTTCCCCCCTCCCCTCAAAGCAGAGGTTAGGAGCAGTGGCTGAAATCCTCCCCTATGGGACGGCCCTCGAAGACCTCTACGTGCCTATGTGTGTCATCGATAGTTAATAACGACAATTAAGTAAACAGAGGCAACGAGTTGTGCTCAGAAAACTTGAGTCACACAGTGCCGTCTTCAGCCGTGGTGGTTTCACTTGCCTGGTCTTTGTGCCTATGTGTGTCATCGATAGTTAATAATGACAATTAAGTAAACAGAGGCGAGTTGTGCTCAGAAATCTTGAGTCACACAGTGCCATCTTCAGCCGTGGTGGTTTCACTTGCCTGGTCTTTAAGCATCAGTGTGTGTGAACAGTAGAAGGATTGGAATATGTTTTTGACACCAGCTGGTGGATTTGTAGAGGTGTGTAGCATCGGCGGGAGCTAATTGTTGTTGTAGTTAGCCGTACCACTCCGTCTGGAGTCTGCCTCTGAAAACCCTCCGTGTGAGGGGCTTCACAAGTTTTTCTAACCTTCTGCAAAGTTTTTCTGCCTGCAGCTGAGCAGCTTGCACAGCACACCGTGGCCTGGTCTGCTGAAACACTCCCAGTGGCTGAGCAGTAAAAGGTCACCAGTAGTTTCTCCTTCACTTCTACTTTCTGGACTAAGATGAGACTAAAGTGTTCAGAGTTTTGGCCGACTAAAAGTTGATTTAACATAAAACGGATGAGGCTGATTCATTTTGACTAAAACTAACACAGACCTTCGGTCTCAGGACTAAGACTAAATTTAAAACTAGCTGACAAACTTAACTGTCAGCCAAAGTCATGTGATACACCCTGACCTTGGAGATGACTCCATTCTCGTCCGTCTGCACCAGGATGTTGCTGCACCAGAAGGTCCCGCAGCCACGGCCCCAGCAGACCCGGCTGAGGCCGAAGCGCTTCACCGAGTACTGACAGGACAGAGAGGCCACGCCCCCCTCTGGTACCTTAAAAGAGGAAACAGACAAAAAGCGTCCGCCTGCAGCAGAAAGACACAGAGGTGAAGGTGAGTGTAAAGCCCAGAGTTCTGCTACACATGCACACATGACAACACAAGCTGCCCAGTTACACAGGTGAAGCACCTCCCAGTCAGAGGCTTCACCTGTACATGAGCTCTGTGTCCTGGTCCCCCACAGATCTGATCGGATCCACCTGGCCCCACCAGCTGTTAGTGTAACAGATGGATTAGTGAACAGGTGAACGGGTGCAGTCAAGGGCCCCTGGATCAACGCCTCTGTGTAAAGTGACTGGTGACAGTTCCCTTTGGAAAGTCGGTCGACCACAAAGAGAAACGAACACAATCACAGCAAGATTCCAGATGGCTTGTGATGAAGATGAAGGTGGTCAGTCTGAGCTGAACTTCTTCAAACTGAGCATCAGAGTACGTCATGTTGTGATGTCAGAGTTCGTGGTCTGATGTCATGTTGCAATGTCAGAGCTTGCGTTGTGGTGTCAGTTTGTGTCTCACCTGACAGGATGCAGAAGACGATAATGAAGGACATCGGGCAGCAGTGAGGCGAGGCGGCGGCCATCCTGCGAGTGTGTGTCCATTATGCAGCTAGAGGACAACAACACAGTGTGACTGTGTGGGTGGGGGGTGGTGAGGGAGGAGACACACTGTGTTTGTGTGTCTGTTCGTGTGGTTTGATGTGTGAACATCTGCTGCGTTTAACCCATGCTGAGTCACACGCCTTTAGGATTGAATACATAAGTTGGACCAAAAGATTAACTTTTAAATTTAGACGTTGACTTATCACTAAGTAAAACTGTGAATGTTTGCTGGAGTTTTCCGATGTCCCCCTGGTGACAGGCACACGGACACTGACGCTCCTAAATCTGCCCAGATGTCACAGCTCCACAGAGGCTGAGGTTGTTCACCGGGCCTGGCAGCTGTGGAGCCACTACTGGCTGAGTGTGGGTTTCTCAGGAGGAAATCCAAAAGCATTGCCAAACCCCCGGGTTTGAACCCAGTGTTTCTGTCCGCAGATGAACAGAAAGAAAAACTGTGATAACATGTTTTTAAAGCAGGAAGAGACCAGGGTGAACGTGATGGAAGGAAACACAGGACAAAAGCACTTTGTGTTTGTGTGTCTGTCGCTGGTTGTGTGAGATGTCACAGCCACACAACAGCCTCTTTCTTCACATCAGATTCCTCTGTGTGCTTCACTTTGTTTCTCCCCAGACTGACCACGTGACAGTTGCACACTGGCTAATAACAGGCCGTGTTGTGGTTGTCAGCGGTTATCAGAGTCTGCTAAAGTGTTTATCAGCTGCTGTTTGTGTAGCTCCTTTTGTCTGATGCCTCCTGTGGACAGGAAGCGGAGGCCGCTTTAGAGGCAGATCATCAGTGACAGCTGGTATAATATATATTTCAGGAGACGTTCTAAACTGGTTTTACATGTTTATACACTGATCATAAAGGAAAACTATAACGTGGTACCACTGTGTGTAATTTGGCAGCAGGACAATGTGAAATAACTTTGAATTTGTTATAAAATCAGTAAAAAGAGCAAAAATAAGAAGTGTAAAACTCCTCAGCTGAAAATGAATGCGGGTGAATTTGATGTGAGTAAAAACATGTCCTCTGGTCTCAGTTATCACATTTCTGATGCTAATGAGCATAAAAGGTAAAGACAATATTGATCCAATATATAAATATCAAAGATCAAACTGTTCCAAAGCCCCAGGGAGAGAAATCCTGTTGGATCGCATCAGTGCACAGATGATTCACACACAGAGACACAGCTGCTGAGTTTCTCTGTCTGATTTCCCACAACCCCCGTCCAGAGACCAGCAGCACCAGTGAACGTGGTGTCCTCACCGTGATACGTGTGAGTCCAGACCCTGGTCCAGCTCATCGTTCTGTCCACCAGCTGTTAACCCCCCAGTGAGCCACGCCACGCCACTGGGGGGCAGGTTTCCTCCTCAGGGAACACAGGAGGCCGCCTGCTTCCAACAACCGGCTCCAAAGTTTTTATAAGGTGAGGTATAAAGGGAAAATACCAAATACTGTGACCCTCTCCATAATAAACGTAAATCCTCCTGTTACTGAAGACACTGAACATATCTGTGAGTAGAAAAAGGTACTTTTATCAGTGGTGGAAGAAGTACTCAGATTTTTTACCCAAGTAAAAGTAGCAATACCACAGTGTAAAACTACTCTCTTACAAGTAAAATCCTGCATAAAATGTTACTTAAGTGAAAGTACAAAAGTATTAGCATCAAAATATACTTAAAGTACCAAAGGTAAAAGTACTCATTATGCAGAATAGCACATTACACAGGTAAAGTACAAACACTGCATTGTGTTTCTCTCAGTGTTAGTGTGAGTGTGGACTGGAGCTGGTTCAGGACACATGGCCAGGAACCAGCTGCTGAACTGGTCACACACCAGTCAGATGCTGCCGTTCCTCACCTGTGTGGCACAATTACATTCCTTTTACTGCAGTACTCACAGTCCTGCTGCTGATATCAGGAAGGAAGTTGTAGTCAGTGCTGGAAGAAGTATTCATACCCTTATGTAAAAGTGTTAATACCTTGGACAGATTACTGGGCACAGACAGGTAAAAGGCCCCCACCCCTCCTCTATGGCCCCTCAGGCTGAAACAGTGACTGCAAACCAATGCAGCGTTTACAGTTGTCTTCAGTTTTGGTCATTTTGCATCTATATTTAGTCTTTGAACTCAGTTTTGTGACTCTCACACAGTAAATATCAACAGTCTTGCATCCAGAACGTACTTAAGGAAAACTACAGTATTATTAGAGAAAAGTTCTTAAAGTACTTAAAGTAAAAGTACTCTTTGTGTTGCCTGTTTTATTAGTGCTGCATTTGTGTGTATGTTACATTTTACAGCTGTGCTTGTTAAAACCGTGGGTGTTTAGTCTGCAGCGATGCATTGCTCTCTACAGGATCCCATGTTTGTCCTGTGAGAAGCATGGTGTTTGTGGACCGGCTTCCTGTTTGGTTATATTTCCTGTCTTGTGTCACCTCACCTGCCCCAGCTTTACCCCAGTTCACAATGACTGTTCATTGCTTCCACCTGCTGCTCCTTACTCCCTGGTTCTTCAGCCCATTTACTCTCCTCCTTTCCCTCCGTCACATGCTGGTTCGTTCTGCTCACCACACTCTGCCAGTTCGCGTTACTACTGTAAGTTCTGTATTCGTCTCCTGTTTGTTCCTGCCCTGGATACCTTCAGACGGTTTCTCTTTGACTGGTACTTGTATTCTCAGTGGTACTGCTGTCTGAGTACTGGTCTAATAGAGAAGTCATCACCACCATCTGGTGTTTAGCTTCAGTAACTACAGTTCTGCACACGACGATCCCTGTGTTCGATAGATACTGTGTACTGATGTAAGTTGAATTGCATCAATAAATATTAAAGGTAGAACTGTCAACTACACAACATACATTGCATAAACAGCTGCAGAGGTTTTAGGCACTAAAACAAAAGCAGCTGCCAAATGACACATTTTTGATTTAGTGATGATTAATTGTGATGCACGGAGATGTTAGGGCATAGTTGTTTGTGACCTCCATCCATGGTGCAGTAAAGAGAGCAAACCTAAACCAGAGCACTATTTGCTGTGGCCCACCTTTGTCCTCATACCAGGCCCAGGTCTCCTCAGTCCGCCTGCACACAGTGTGTCCAGGTACAGGGCAGGTCATTTGTTCCAGCGTCTTGAAGCGGCTGTCACAATTCTCCTGTGGATTCAGTCCCTGCATGTGGTGCCAGACTGACTCCATGATGCTGAGTGAGGCTGAACAGACAGAGGCTATAATGAGACCACCAACAACCTGAAGCTTTAACCGGACCCCCAGAGCAGGTCCCATCTTCTGTGCAGCTGTTCGATTCAGTGGGAACTGTGTTGGACTGACCTGTTTTATAGTAAATGTTACCGTTTGCAGAAAATTCATTCTAAGCTGGTTGAGTTTGTGGTGCAGGGAACAGCATGTGAATGATTTCACACAGGACCAGTTTAATTCAGGACCCGTTTATTTCTGCCACCAACTGTTTGAAGGCCACGACGTGCTAACCCCTAGATAAAGGAACAAAGCTTAACCTCTCACACTAATGTGGCATATTTGAAATGTATTAAAGCTCCAAACACTGCTTGAGGTTTTTGACAGATATTCACTCAGTAATAGACGACCATGAACCTGTGAACAGAGTTATCTGCAGACCTCCCTCTTATATGTCATTAATTCAGGACAAGACCCCAAATCCTCCCGAATAACAACAACCTGCAGTTATAGGCAGCTACCTCCTTCCACCATCAGATGTTACTGTACTGAGAAGATTTAGGAACCAGTATACTCTGGCTCTTTGAGGGAGTGTTGAGTTTTGTCTGAAATAACCCATAAAAGCCATGACACTGGCCACTTAAGACCATATTTGCATTGCACAGTATTTAGCTGACACTGGCTAATTTCCCAAGATGGAACACTCCATTTACAGTGTATATAAGTAAATAACTGACTAATTTATCTAAAATGGTTTCTAATGAATATCTGAAAATTGTCAGTAATTTTGATTATCAATCATCACTGATTTTCTCTTGAAGAATTAGCTACATTTAAATTAATTTTAGTATATATAATGACCATTATATACAACTTTAAACATCACTACACACAAGTTCTAATACCATTCTAAACCTATAAAACTAATAATATTACTAATGAGGCTGACTCAATAAAGAGAAGGAGAGTTTAAACTTTTTATAAGTTTTATATAGATTTTAAGAGTTACAGCATGGCAGTAAGCAATAAGGCAAAATATCAATATCCTCAACAATCCCTGTTTGATTAGCTTACAACTAAATAAATCAACTATTTCTAATCATCAACCTAAACTATTATACTGATTAAAATCATTATAGTTGCCCCTGTTGGCATGCAAAGTCTTGTTTTCAGAACGGTTGCATATCTTTTCCTGCCAAAATCCAGTTCACTGCCTGTATCTGGACTCCACCCACCGTGATTCAGCTTCATCTACTTCTCCTTTCTCGAAAACAAATCATTCTAGTGGCTGATAAAAATGCAAGAGTCTCACATCTGATCAAAATACACAAATCCCATCTTAACATCTAACTAAACCATCAGAATAACACAGTCACTCAAAAACTGTCAATGCATTGAATTTAAAACATAGATCACTATTATTTTGAATACAAATTACTTTACCAAACATTATCACCGATCAATCAAATCTTTACTTTATGCATGAAGCCATATTTCCTTTTCAATAAACTCAGTGCCTCTTCTCTTTTTCTTTTCCCTTAACACACATCTCTGCCTGCGGTTCCTCTTTTGTGGGGATGTGTCTGCTAACTTCCCTTATTCACAGAAAAGTTCCTCTTTCCTGAATTGCAGTATTGCTGCTGGTTCATGGGCTTACTTAGACCTTCGTCTTGGTATAATTTATGATCACCGTTGTTTCCTTCTGTAAGCTTATAGTACTGTCTTCAGCTGTCATTGCTGTCCAACTCTTGGCTATCCTCGACACAACAAAAGCCACTAACAATATCTGATTTTAAGCAGTGAGAGAATCTTTCACACACCTTTTATATAATCAACATATCCAGTATAGAGTATTCATGAAATTTTAGAGCAGAACCTGGTTATTGTCAGGTGAACTGACAGCTCCTGGTTTGTCTCTTCACCATTTTACTTCTCGATGTTGTCCGACATGAACATCTCCTGTCTTTTCAGGCCCTGCCCCTCCTACCTGCCCTGCACGTACCCCCGAGTTCCCACCACCTGGACATCTGCAGCTCCTACATCTGCCCTCTTCCAGGTTGTGTCCAGCTGATCCTGACCTCAGCCCTCACCTGATTTCTCTGCCTGATAAAAAACCTCCCTGAGGTAAGGACACCCTGCCTTCTACTCATCTTCTGTTGAGTCCGAGTCCAGGCCTCAGAGCGAGAATGTCACAATTACAACAATAAATAAAATATAATAAAAGTAACAGGAGCAAACACCTTAAAAGATTAAATTAATTAATTAAAGCAGATAGAGGATGTTTGAGAGCTATCATGATGCCCCAAAGGTTTGCTGCAGGTTTTTCCAGAAGAGTTGGGTTCCTGCTGCAGATGTCAGTCCCTGAAGGCAGGTTCACGTGGAGCTGCAAAGATGAAATACAACGTGACAGTTTTTTAAGGGTTTTATGGATAAATAAGGCCCAGTAGTTATTATAGCTCTTCTTCATCCAGGATATAGCAGTGAGTGACTGGTACATGGAGTTTGGGCCCCCAGAGTGGAGGTGGCAGCGTGTCGATGGCCACAACAGCAAACGTCTTTCTGCTGCTCCCGAGCATCAGGGACGCTGAGAGAAACATTGCCTTACTCTGGAGTGACCGCAAACTTCATGCACACATGAGCAGAAATCTAACTCCATCTGTACACTTGTCATGTGACGTCACATGTGGTGAACACAGACGCATTGATCCTGTAAAGATTCAGAAACTGTTTAAAACAATCACGATGCCATGACATTTAAGAGGAACTTCCAGGTCACAGACGGTGCAAAAAATAAGCTACATCTACAGAAGTTAAAGATCTACAGTATATTGAAGCAAGTCACACAACCAGGCAATTTTATTTTTCTTTTCTCTAATGAATCCCAGAGTCGACCACAGCGTTACTCCTGCTGCAGACAGATGCAACCAGCTCAGAGGACACTGGGTCCTTCTACAGAAACGGTGGATGTTTGCAGACGCCAAATCCTTTCAGTTGGCATGACAGTCAAATTAAATATATGTTGAATACTTACTGTCCTTTCAAGGCCGCCACAGTTTTTTCATCTAATGTTCAATATTTTAGCCATTTATAAAGTCCCAAGTTTGAGGAATTGCCTTGTCACTGTGTTCGTAAGTGGATTTGTAGCCACGTGTTGGTCATCCTAAAACGCCTCATTCCTGTTACGCTACACAAAACACTTTGATCTTGTAATAATGAACTGACTCTTTAAAGCTCTTCCTGGGTCAACAGGTCACTGGACAAAGACATGTGGCCTGTCAGATGTGTGACTTTATTTATTTAAAATGTCCTGATTTATTGTAACATTTCATGAGAAGCTTTTAGGTCCGTCATTGGTTTGACACACTTCATAGCAGGGAGGTGGAAAAGTGAACATAAAAACTGAATAATTAAATGATTTTGATATGACTGACATGGGCGGACATGTGGTGGCCATTTTGTTAAAACTGTAGTATTTTCTTTTCTCCAGTTTGTCACTGACGTTACTGCTCCTTGGTAACACCAGTAACATCCCTACTGTATGTACACTGATGTCACTGGTGTTCTTGTTTTTTCAGTGATGTGAGTTAATAAATGTAATTTTTACTTCTTGGCTATATTTTGTTTGATTTGTGATGTAGTCAGTTTATAGCTGAGAATTAGTATCAAAAACTTTGTTTGAATATTCTAAAACTGTTTTTGAAAGAAAAAAGTGCCGGGCAAATCAAATAAATTCATACAATGTTTAAATGTACAATTTTACAAAATTGTGCTAAGCTTCAGTCGTGCGGTTGACTGTGCATGCTTGGTGACTTGTGTGTCAGAAAAGACAAGATCTCAGACTGGCTGTCCTGCATGTCAATCAAGTAGCAAATGCCATAGGGAGGATGGATGATACGCTATATATGAATGATTGTTACTTTCGGCTTTTCCTGTTAGAGGTCGCCACAGTGAATCATCACACTGACCATTCGCATGTTAACATTTGGCACGTGTTTTACGCCGGATACATCCAATTTATTTTTGAATGGCACGCGATCTACCAACACTACCTTTGCGATCAACCGGTCAATCGCGATCAAAGTATTGGGCACCCCTGCACTAAACCGTTCTGGTTTACTCGGTCGGTGATACCTGAACCACCTCACGGTCATCCTGCTCCTCCTGATTCTCGGCGTGGGTGTGGCTCCTCGGTCCTGACACTGGGCACGAAGGCCAATCTCGTCCCCGGCAGCCTGCTCCGACAACCCACTCCCTGGTCCACTGCTCCGCTCCTGACTCATCAGCACCAGCCTCCTGGGTTTCGGCTTTCTACATCCCAGTCTCAGTCCCCTTCGGTTCCCAGCCTGACCTCTCTACCAGTTCTGTGTCTGTTTCTCTGCTTTGTATAAAAACTGTTTCCTCTCCACTCTGACTGCGTCTGCCTATGGGGTCCAGTCCCTCATGGGCCGTAACAAAGACACGGCACATGGAATGTTTAATTGTATAAAATAAAGATGTGGTGGATTCATCAGATTCAGAAGTTGGTTAATGTCATAATGCTAAAACCATTGGAAAATCATTGTAACCATCGTTGAGTTTAATTGTGTTTACATTTGCTAATGATTCATCTGGACGGTGGTTGCCTGTTGTAGCACAGTACACTTGTTATATTTTTTATGCTAATGTATTTTTAGACATATCTGAATATTGGGGGGGTGCCCCCCCCAATATACATTATTGTACTCATGGCCTTATTACAGAAGATGTGTAATACCTGACTCTGCGAGTGAGCGTGTCTCCATCAGTGGTCCTGGATAGTCGGGCCACAACTGCTCAACAAGATCTGGATCATGTGGAAAGGCATCCTTTTTGTATGCAGCTGGTCCCTCCCTACAGAATGTGAGGTTCTCTCTCAGTCTGCCATCAGCAAACTTCAGCACCTGAAAAAGAAACAGAGCAACTGCAGCTCTTGGATAAAGGATGATGAGGATGCAGAGCTAGATTGTTAGCGGCGGGGGGTCTTGTTTATAAAGAGACTGAAGAATGAGCAGTGACAGTACCTTTCCTTCCTCCACATGAAGGGCAATAGCGACATGGTCCCAAACATAAAACTGTTGAATCCTTTCAGAAAGTTCTCGAACTCCCATTAGGTTTTCTTGGTGCATCTGGATCAACTCGTACCTGACATAAAAACACTTTCATTAAATGCTAAACATCCGTGTATGAGAGTGATGAATGTCTGTTCCATTTATATGTTTGATATGTGTACACAGTTCTGTGCACCTGCCTCTTTTGTTCTCTGTAAGTAATGTAGGTTGCGTCTTTTAAGCAAAGTCTAAATATAATATAATACAATACATGTATACACATAATATAATACAAATATATTCATATATTAATGTATAAAAATTTAGTAACTGATTATATGAATTCTGAACAAAGTCTAAGCACTTTATATTATCCTGAATTGAGTGAATTAATATAGGTTTCTGTCTTTAATTTGGTAGTTCTAACAAAGAAAGCAGGAAAGTGAAGAAATCTGACAGAACTGGCATCTTGTAACGGGCCACACTGTGCCACCGTCTCCACTGTTCTTCAGTGTGTTAAGCCTACACCCAGAGGGAACCAGTATATCACAAATGGTTCACATACAACTTTTAACCAAAACTCATGTCTTTACACCTCCCCAAGCAGTGTGCCGTCGGTATCTGGATTTGGGATGTTTAGCACATGGAGGCTGAGGACGTCTACTGTATGCCCAGAATGGTTTTCTTGCATCTCACGGTTTGTGATGTTTTAGCCAAAATGCCAAGTCACTACGCACATGGTGGCCCTGTCTCTGCTAAGCTTCAATATGCTGAACACAGCAAGAACCTGTGTACTAAACATGTTGCAGCAGCAACTCGATGTTACCAAAACATTATACAGAGCTTTAGTAGTAGTGTATATTGAGGTAGTACACAGAGTATACAGTACTAGCCACATGTGCACACAGACCATATATGTTGTCTGCACCTCAGGGATGGTGAGAATTTAGCCAAAACACAGTGGTTCATATGTGGCCACATGGTGGCGATGTTGGTGGGATGGGAGGTGACTTCCAAGTCCCTAACTGCATCTATGTTTCCCTCACTTGTCTTTTCCTTGTGTCTTATTCACACGATGCAAGAAGAGAGGAACAGAGGAGACACGAGTCATCCTGTCCTCTGATCCTTCATCTGAAGTGTCCGGTCACCATCTGATTTCTGATAAAGGGCGTGTCTGTCCATGAAGGATGCTCTCATGTTTCCTCACTCATGGCTCCTCCAGCAGCCTCCTCGCTCCTCACTCAACTCAGGAGTCATTCCAGTTGAGCGAGGAACAATGAACAACCCAATAATGGAAGTGGGATTTTCCATAAGATGCATGGAAACGACTCCAGTGAGGAAAACATGGGCCCGGTTCAGAGACTTGGGAGGCAAGATAGGTCTAACTAACGGAGAACTGAAAACCCAGACTTTTCACTTTACCCACGTTCTGCAACACCCCCTAAGTCGATGTAGTGTTGCTGTATGCAGGGGTGTCTGGTCTTTTACCTGTGTGTCTCACACATGGCCTCAGGCCTCCAGATGAAACAACCGTCTCTGTAAACGCAGACTGCGTTTGGGTTGTCACTCAGCAGAGGATACTCTAAGAAAGATTGATTGGCTGGGCTGTGGACCAGTACAGCATACATCACTTCCTGTTTGTACAGGATGGTCTCAAACACTCGCATGACAGGCTGAGCACCGGAGCAAAACTGGAGACAGACAGAAATATTACATGTTGAGAGCAGGAGCATGTTTGCCGCATCTTTTCCAAGACAGAGTCTGAGATGTTTGATCCCCGTATCAGTGTGTAACAGTCTGGCATCGGTTTCAGTGAGATGGACACAATGAGGTTAACAGTTAAAGAGGCAGCTGTTAGACAAGTTTAATATGTGTGCAGCAAAGCACCAGGTCCTGCAGGTTGGAGCACATAGGGTGCATCATTTATCATCCGCTGTTTTTATACAAGTGTATAATAATAATGAACTGCACTATGCACAAAGGGAGTTTCTACCCTTGTCTTGATCTTTGCAGCTGACCAGTCACCCATAAGTCCAAACAGACATATAGTTTAAGTATCTGGATTGTTGCTGCCTTTCCAAATTGAGCCCATTGCTCCCATAGTGCCCCGAGCACTTCTGCTGTGGCCGTTCTTTCTTCATTTGCTTTGACATTTGTTTATGCTGTGGGATTTGCATCACCCTGTGACTCACTGTCTTGTTAATCTCCTGAGCCAGATTTGCTCACATTTAATGCCATTTGCAGAGCAACATTAATTTTTTCTTTCAGTTCAGCTGATTAAGAATGACATCATTACTCTGGACTAATGTAATGTTTCAAAGCTGTAAGAGGCAGAAGCTCAGCTCAATGCCCTTCACTGTGTCCATCTACAAACCTGGGCTCATAAAACAAACACTATCAGACTGGAAAGATGCCAACAGAGGGAAGTGAGAACATTTCTTTCTTGTTTTTGTATTTTGTGTAAATCAACCCTTTATGAATTCTCTTTAACTGATAGGACTTTGACTTAGTCTTACGCAGTCCCTTTCGATCTGTGTCATGAATCAGGTGAGACACATGGAACTCCGGCTTGGGTCCAGGAAACTCTCCTGATTCCTCTCCAGGAGCCTCGTCTCAGCTGAACCAGGAAACTCTCCTGATTCTGGGCCTGCTCCAGTGTCTGGTCGGGGCAGGTCCTCTCCAGGAGCCTCGTCTCAGCTGATGTCATATCATCGGGTCCCAAAGCCAGACTCAACCACACCAGGTTCGGAGAGTCATCACCTGGGCCCCTGAAGCCACCCGGGTCCCTGAAGCCACTGTCCCTCTTGATGCCACGCAGTCCCTTTCGATCTGTGTCATGAATCAGGTGAGACACATGGAACTCCGGCTTGGGGAATTGGGGGATGTTTTCCTTGAAGAGGTACTGGTTTTCCACACCTAGAGCTTGAGCTACCCTTTTCAAATCATCTAGCTTCAAGTGCTGACCTGTAACAAAATGCTCAGTTTTTCCTCTACGGTTTGTTCGTCTCTCCATGGTCTGGAGGAATGTAGATGGAAGTGTCTACTGTCAAATAAACCACCCCAATTTGTTCTTATATGACTTATATGTAATGAAAGTTTTTCCAAATGTCTTTTCTTCTTTTCCTCTCAAAGACGAACCCAGGCCATTGATCCCTTTCTCTGTGTCAGACTTAATTTTATTTGTTGTCGTCCTTTAAATAATGCCGCAGGTGGGGCTTAAGTAAGTGACGTCGCCTGCGTCTGCGCATTGCGACCTGATGCGGCCCCGGAAGCGAGACACAGGAAACAGAAATACTGCAAAATAATAATAATAACGCGACTAAACGAGACGAAATAATGTTATAACACTTCGTTGCATCTCGTTTTGGTAAACGAAAATGAAGAGACATTTTGGCATAGTTTTTATTTTGTAAACCACATTTAGTCTCGATTTTTTCGTCAACAATATTGCATTATACATTTAATTATAGTCATCGTCACATGACCAGCATTTTCGTTGCGTCTCGTCTCGTCACGTGATAAAGGTTCGTTGACGGCGAGTATAAAATTTTTGATATGAGCTGTTCCCAGGAATTGAAACTGAAAATAAATGTAAATTCTGAAACATTTTAAGCCGGATCAACTTTAAAACACAAGTTCCCATAGAAATGTGAATGGACTAAATAACAATAATAAATATCTTTAATGTGTTTTAATGAGGTTTAAAACACATCAGGAAGTGACAAATACAAAACGCCACACTTTTCTGATTTTTATTTGTAAAAATCTTGAAAACCATGGCTGTGTCCGAAACCGCATACTGTGACAGTACGTACTGAAAGAGATGAAGTACCTACTTACTGACCGTTAAAACAGTAGGTACTGTATAGTATGAAGCCTGGTAGTATGAATGAGATTCGGACGTACTACATCCGCCATGTTGATACATCACGTGACATATGTTTTCATAGCAGCGTCTTCTTCGTTGGATAACTCCTCGCCCGGGGCATCATGGGATAGTGAAGTGTCCATCGTATGCACACTGCAAAATCCAACCGGAAGCAGTAGGTCATCCGGGTACTTTTCGCCTACTGTTTTTGGAATACTACGAATCCGGACATACTACTCGCCTCGCCTACTATACAGTATGGTAGTAGGCGGTTTCGGACGCAGCCCATGTATCATCTTCTTCCACTTCACAATTATGCGATACTTTGTGTTGGTATATCAAATGTATTCTATTGGGATTTTATGTAGGTTTGTAGTTGTAATGTGACACAACGTGGAAAAATTCAAGGGGTATGAATACTTTTGCAAGTCACTTTATATATATAAAATTCCCCACTCACTTAACCACATCCAACACATCGCTATGCGCGCGCAAAGACGGAAACAGTTTAGATGCAATATTCCAAAAATATATACATACAAAAGTATTTCTACAGAACGACACTATGGGTTGTCGTTCTGTTGTAGTCATAGGTTAAGTGTTGATTAGAGAGAAACCCTGATCAGGATAGAAACTGTCCTTGTGTCTGGTTGTCTTGGTGCACAGTGACCTGTAGCGCCATCCAAAGGGGAGGAGTTCAAACAGCTTGTGCCCAGGATGGAAACCTTTATGTATGCATTGTTTATGGTTATCGTTGACTTGCTGCTTAATTATGTTTTATCTGTCGGTTTTGTTATTCATTAATAATTGTTTGTGATAATTGTTAATGTCACATAAAGAGGAGAAGTTAAATTTTACTTTTCAGACTTTTATTCTGAAGTTTATCGCGACGTCTAACCGTCAAAGACGTAGACCGGATGTTATTTTGTTTTAGCTAACCAGACGATGAAGTGTAAACTAGTGATGGGCAGATGAAGCTTCATGAGGCATTGAACCCTTTCATCCAATTGGTTCACTCCAGCGCAAAGCTTCTTGAAGCTTCATTTGCTCTAGGAGGACATCTACTGGATGCAACAATATCAGTTGGCATGAATTTGAAGTGTGTGGCATTTTGCAGAAAGCCTGTGAATAAAACTGTATGCAAAATAAAGACGTATGCAAAACATGTATATTGTAGTGATGGCAGTATACTGTGTGTGTGTGTGTGTGTGTGTGTATATATATATATATAAGAAACGCCCCCTCCCCTACTCGGCACACGCTTCGAAGCCTCGATACGGAACGTCACATCACTAGTGTAAACTACTGCGGACTTAAATAATTAATTTAACACAAGTATGTCCGTGACATTAAAGAAATTAGAGCAGATGTACAGAAGTGACAGATTAAGAAACCGTTTATTAGTTTAAAAGCTACATTTCACGTCAGAGCTGACTGAAGCTTAGGGCTGCCGTTAGCTAACGTTAGCTTGTGATAGTTGAGCAGCCACAGAAGCCAACAGTTAAACTCAAGCTGAAGGTGATTTAATGAACGTGAGGCAGAGCACCTGGTGGAATCAGCTGTAGCGTTAAAGGTGAGTGTTGTACGGTACTTAAAGCTAACGTTGTGGAGAATGACGACAGGTAAGTTACAGCAAGGTAAACGAACGTCAGCGGACTGGCTCACCTGTAAAGTAAACAGACATGTGTCTAGAAGCAGCTGTTGGGTTAGTAAAACAGTGAGAGCAGCACGCCAAAGTCCACTGATAATTCTTGAAATTTTAAAGTTAACTCGCTCTGTAGCAGAGAAGAACTCGGACTTGTATGAGATGAATGATTACAGGTCAGCAGGCAGGTAATCAAGCAAACGGTGTAGTGGTAAGATTCAATCAGCTACAGTGGGTACGGAAAGTATTCAGACCCCCTTAAAATTTTCACTCTTTGTTATATTGCAGCCATATGCTAAAATCATTTAAGTTCATTTTTTTCCTCTAATGTACACACAGCACCCCATATTGACAGAAAAACACAGAATTTGACATTTTTGCAGATTTATTAAAGAAAAACTGAAATATCACATGGTCATAAGTATTCAGACCCTTTGCTCAGTATTTAGTAGAAGCACCCTTTTGAGCTAATACAGCCATGAGTCTTTTTGGGAATGATGCAACAAGTTTTTCACACCTGCATTTGGGGATCCTCTGCCATTCCTCCTTGCAGATCCTCTCCAGTTCTGTCAGGTTGGATGGTAAACGTGGGTGGACAGCCATTTTCAGGTCTCTCCAGAGATGCTCAATTGGGTTTAAGTCAGGGCTCTGGCGGGGCCATTCAAGAACAGTCACGGAGTTGTTGTGAAGCCACTCCTTCGTTATTTTAGCTGTGTGCTTAGGGTCATCGTCATGTTGGAAGGTGAACCTTCGGCCCAGTCTGAGGTCTCGGGAGATGGGAGAAAGTTGTAGAAAGTCAACCATCACTGCAGCCTTCCACCAGTCGGGGCTTTATGGCAGAGTGGCCCGACGGAAGCCTCTCCTCAGTGCAAGACACATGAAAGTCCGCATGGAGTTTGCTAAAAAACACCTGAAGGACTCCAAGATGGTGAGAAATAAGATTCTCTGGTCTGATGAGACCAAGATAGAACTTTTTGGCCTTAATTCTAAGCGGTATGTGTGGAGAAAACCAGGCACTGCTCATCACCTGTCCAATACAGTCCCAACAGTGAAGCATGGTGGTGGCAGCATCATGCTATGGGGGTGTTTTTCAGCTGCAGGGACAGGACGGCTGGTTGCAATCGAGGGAAGGATGAATGTGGCCAAGTACAGGGATATCCTGGACGAAAACCTTCTCCAGAGTGCTCAGAACCTCATACTGGGCCGAAGGTTCACCTTCCAACGAGACAATGACCCTAAGCACACAGCTAAAATAATGAAGGAGTGGCTTCACAACAACTCTGTGACTGTTCTTGAATGGTCCCGCCAGAGCCCTGACTTAAACCCCATTGAGCATCTCTGGAGAGACCTGAAAATGGCTGTCCACCAACGTTTACCATCCAACCTGACAGAACTGGAGAGGATCTGCAAGGAGGAATGGCAGAGGATCCCCAAATGCAGGTGTGAAAAACTTGTTGCATCATTCCTAAAAAGACTCATGGCTGTATTAGCTCAAAAGGGTGCTTCTACTAAATACTGAGCAAAGGGTCTGAATACTTATGACCATGTGATATTTCAGTTTTTCTTTTTTAATAAATGTGCAAAAATGTCAAAAATTCTGTGTTTTTCTGTCAATATGGGGTGCTGTGTGTACATTAATGAGGAAAAAAATGAACTTAAATGATTTTAGCATATGGCTGCAATATAACAAAGAGTGAAAAATTTAAGGGGGTCTGAATACTTTCCGTACCCACTGTATATATGTTTTTGTTATAAATGTAGTACTATACAAGAAGTTGTCAGATTCTTTGTGTAAATTTGAGAGCCAGTACCATAATTTAAAAATACTTGAGCGAAGATACGTCAGTATTATTAGGATATTCTACTTAAAAGCAGAAGTACTGAATACAGAGAATGCCCCGAGTGAGTGTATATAGTTCATGTGATGTTGTACTATAAATGTTTTATACATCATTACATTATTATTACTGAAAATATACAGTTTATGCTGAATTTTGCTGTTTCAGGTGGAGTTTATTTTAACTAACCTTATTTAGGACTGCAACTAATGATCAATTTGCTGATTACTCTGTTAGTCTATCCATTGATTGATTGGTTTGTAAAATGTAAGAAAATAATGATAAATTCTCCATCCCAGTTACTCAGACTTCAAAGTCACGTCTTCAGAACTTAAACCAGTGTAAATCATAATCAGTCTGTTGGGTTTTGGACCATTGGTCAGACAAAACACCTGAAGATGTCACCTAGAGCTGTTGAAAAGAAAGAAGTAGATTGGATTGATTCTTTTATTTTCTCAGTTCTTACAGACCAAAATAATAATGTAGTCAGCTGCAACTGTAAACAAGACCTTTTGCAAACATCACCTGGGAGTCTATGAAATTCTGAGGGACAGGTTTCTCTTCTCATATGATGGATTAAACAGTCAATCAATGAATTAGAAAATGTACTGATTACTGATGGGCTCATGGTAATAGTCATTAGCTTTTCTCATATAGGCACATGATGAATATGTTCCAATGAAGCTCAGATGCTGAGAGAGAGGCATTTTACAAAGCTCTAATGTGATGTTTCATCTGACTAGTCCAGGATGCTGCAGGGGCCATACGGAAGCCTGGACCGGGACCGGCCCCTCATCCGGCTCCGTTTTACCAGCTTTGCTGTGGGGACGGTGCTGCTTCCTCTGACCGGCCTCGTCGCCTGCCTCTTCATTTCACTCATGTACCACTTTGAGGATGCAACATACACACACTGTCAAGTGAGTCGCACAAAAACCACTGCAAAATGTTCATTTAGAAGTAACAGTGTCAGTTTTTTAATTTGGCTGCAGCTGTGGAAGTGAGTCGCACAAAAACCACTGAAAAATGTTCATTTAGAAGTAACAGTGTCCGTTTTTTAATTTGGCTGCAGTTGTGGTTCGCAACTAAACGCTGAAACACAGTGTCATTCTGTTTATAGTAAAAAGCTTATGTCGAAGAGTATTACATCTGCAGTAAACTTGTATTCATTAAGCATAAGAAGGAAGATGGACCAAACACAAAGCACATGTTGGAAGTGGTGAGAATGTTTCTGAAGTCGGTGCAGATACACAGTGGGCAGGGATTTGCCCTAGACTGTGACACGTTTGTGCTTGAATGTCGAAGGATTTATCCGTTAATAAGTTGACTGACAGAATGTTACTTGCCAACTGTTTAGATAATTGATGACTTGTCATTTGTTAAAGGCCAAACCTCAGCTTGATTTGTCCCACATCACAGGAAACAAAATTTCTCACAGTTTTCTAACATTTTATGGACAAAACAATCAATTATTGGCAGTTTCATTCATAGTGAAAATAATTATAGGAGGCAGCTCTGAATGAATGAAACATTCATAATCAGTTTATGCTTTGGAAGATTTTATTGTTTAATTTTATGCTTGGTGTTTTGTGCATGGTGCTTGGTGCATTTAATGAATGATTTTTAACACTGTAGTCATAAGTTTAAGTGTTTGCGAATGCACAGTATTGGTTCTAGTTTCTCCTGTGAAGATGTTTCACATTGTTCCAGTTGTTTAACTGTGGTGCCATTTATCTGTTTATTCAGCAGCCTCCACCTGAAGTGTTGCTGAAAAGCACTAGTGATGCTCATTAAGCCATCTGTCTAGATGTTTTCTGTCATTAACCTTTTCTGAAATGTTTATCTGCAGCTTAAAGGAGCTATGCAGGGATCTGGTTTTGCCAGATGACCTTTAACCATCTCCTTGATCTGTTTCCTGTTAGAAAAGCTGAAATTTGTTTCTCACCACTCAGGTGTCAAACTACCTCCCGTCCATCAGCTCTGCCATCAGCCGCATGCCCGAGCGTTACATCTGGCGCGGCTGCATCGGCCTGCACTCAGCACCGCGCTACCTCGTGACCATCACCTATTTCAACTTCTACCACAGCCGCTTCGCCAGGAGGCTCCCAGAGCTGCTGCTGAGTGTTCTGGCCCTCCTGTGCAGCCTGGCCGAGAACACGGGCCTGCTGCTGCTCACATACGTGTCGTCCACTGAAACCTACAGTGAGTACAACACGGTCAGCTGGCCCAGGTCCTGCAGTCGGGATTTAAAGAATCAGAGAATCGGATGGATTTCACACAAACCCCATTAAAACGGAAAGAGGATGACTGTACTGCAGATGCACCGATCCATCACATGTGAAAGTGTTAACAACTTGTTTGTCTCTGCAGATATCCATAAAAATGGCTTCACTGTGTTCATAGCGAGCTCGCTGCTGCACATGCTCTTTACATGCATACTGTGGCGGGTGATCAGCTCATACCATGTGAACCCAGAGGTAAATGGCCTTTGTCTTATTCTCACTGTACAATCTATTAGAAGGGCTGTCACAAGGGATCACAGCTCCAGGTTCTATTAGACGGGAGGATATACTGATGTGTAGTGTTTCTACATGAGTGTTTTAAACGTGCACCAAGTTTATTTTCCATCAGAACTAATGTAGATGATGTCGATCTCTTCACTAAACTCACAGCAAACTCTGATGTGACAGGATTTAAGATAAATTGTCATCAGGAAAAAAAATGTATTAAAATTTGATGGATCACTGAATGTGTCTGCGGGGCAGAGGCCCGGGGGGGTAGAGGCCCCTGGTCTCCAGATGCAGAATATCCAGAAAGAGACACAGTGAGACTCTGACAAGCCACGAAGGGTGGGGGTCCCTCTCCTATGGGAGATTGAGTGGCCCCTTTCATGTCTGTGCCCAGGGGCCAGTTTTGTTGTAATCTGTCCATGATTGGCCCGAAACCTAACAAAAAATGTCTGGCCCAGTTACATCAGTCTGACAGCAGCCAGTGTTGAAATGTTCTCATGTGATTTTTGTCTGCGGGGGGCGCCACACAGCTGCAAGTCACTGCAAGACCTCAGAGCAGGTTTGGACCTGACACAACCAGACACTTGTCAGAGAATCTGAGGGGGGCTAGCAGGTTCCAGTGGTCCTTGAGGAGCTTCCAGGAGGGGCCCCTATCAAAATCCAGAGGTGCTTGAGGAGGTTGTAGGGTTCCTTTAGGAGCTCCTAGCTGTTTTGACTAACGTCCCAGTGGTCCTCGAGAATGGGTTAGGAATCTTTTATCTATTAATGTGGTGTTCGGGGTGCTTGCAGAAGTTTTTACTGGTCCTTGAGAAAGGGCCTGTGGTGTTTGAACAGGTGCTATAAGTGTTTGAGGAGGATCATTTAGTCCTTGTGAAGGGTGTGGGGTCATTGTAGTAGGTCTAGCAGTGTTTGAGGTGGCCTTTAGGTGAGTTTGAGGGTCCCTGACAATGAACAGGGACTGCAGAAAGACTTTCAAGGGTTCCTTAGGGGGTTTCACGGGTGCTCTGGGCCTCGTTATGTGCATCTTAGTGGTCCATGAGGAGGATTTCAGGATTGTGGAGTAGGTTGTCTTTGTCGTTGTGGTTCAAGGGAGTTTGGTGGTACTTAAGGTTGTCCTTAAAGTTCCTAAGGAGGATCACATGGAGGCCCTTGCAGGCTTTGAAGAGTATTTGTGGTGCTGGCTAGAGGGGAGCATCATGAGGTCCTTGAGAATGTGTCATTAAATGCAGGCTGAGTCTGTTTCCCCACCCATAGCCACAGACTGATGTATTGTGACGTTTTGTTTTAAATAAAGCCTGGAAAGAAAAGGGCAGTCCAGATCATCTGTTTTTCAGCTGCAGGAACCTGAACCTGTTCTCACATGCTGCGCTGCAGTCAAGAGTCTGCCACGCGAACAGGAAACATAAAGCCGATTTAACTCGGTGTCAACGGAGCAGAGTTTAACCAGACACACTGAGATTTAAATCCGCTAACAGATTCTATGTCGAGGGTTATTCACACACTCATCAGTTTAAACTTCAGTCATCAAGGTTGTCACATGAGACAGCTGTCTCCAGGAAGCCCTGATTCAAGGAGGAACCGCCTCTTAATTTAGTTGCAGTTTCTATTGGTGAACTGACTGGTGGTTGCGGCTGTGGGTCACTGAGTGGCTGAACGAGGACGACAAAGATTACTGAAGAAAACATGGGGTGTTCAGTCAGCTCTCATTGTCTGTGCTTGTGTTTTCAGAGATAATTATCTGTAAATCCATCACATCTCAGTTTCCCTGTGTGTCTCAGGAGAGGACGTCATACCGATGGAAAGTGCGTCTCTTTCTGTTCAACAGCTGCTGTTGTGGGGCGGCATATTACTTCTTCAGACGCCACAACCACTACTGCGAACAAGGAAGTAAGTGTCACAGTCCCGCTCTTTGTGAGTTTCACAGGATCATTACCAGATGACCTAAAGAATACCCACAATGCATCTCTCTTACACTGGCACATTCGCCACATTCAGAAAAGGGTATCTAATGCTGTCAACATGTTTTGTCCTCAAATGTTAGACGACGCCCACTTTGTCAAACATGGAAATGATCTAGAAAAACAGTTATATTTGGGAACTTAAATGAATTGATCATTTTAACTGGTTAATCCTGATAAACTGTGATATAATGAATAAATCTAGACCACATTGTTTTTACTCTGACCAGTTTGATCATGAAACAGCTGGTACACTTCGTACTGTGGTAGTCCTGCATGGGGGTGGGCTAAGAATTTGTTGGTTTGAAAAAAAAAAAAAAACTAGATGTTGACGAGCAGTGGCTGAAATCCACATCCAAACCCAGAGTGATGTGCTCATGGCCTTTGACCCCTCGGCTCACACCGGGCTAGCTCAAGCACTAATGATCTGACGTCGATGTAGGCTAGCAGCCGTCAGTGAATCAAATGGCCCTACAGGCCACAGTGTCCACTGGTTAATGCAGAACTGTGGCCAGTGTGTCATCAAAGGCCAAGTCGGATGTGTGGGAGAAAGTGAGTGTGGTTACAGGCGCCAAGATCAGCGTTGTCAGTGGTGATGGATAAGATGACGGCTGTTCTGTATCTGCAGGTCGATGCTTAACATTACACTTCTATGTAGTATTCAGGGCACGACATGATGAGAAGTGAGGCCGTGAGCGAGCACTGCTGGTACCATTCACACTCAATGGTTTGTTAATTATGCTTGTTAAGTCCTCCGATTATTTATATCACCGTGGAACATTACTGTGCCATAACAACATGATTTATAGAGGTGACTGTGTAATCATAGAAGAGATTGTGTTCTAAACGATATGCCGGGGCAGACAAACTCACCTCCATCCAGACTGCTCACACAGTTTGGAGGGACTCTGCAATTTTTTTACAGGCCCGACACACACATGACCTTATCGAGGCCTTGTTTTGGGGTGGTCATGATATTTGGCATGGTGAGGCAAGGCATCAAATCATCTCACTTCAAAAGGTTGATACAGTGTCGAGCGGTGTGCCTCGAGCGGTGTGCCTCGAGCGGTGTGCCTCGAGCGGTGTGCGTCGAGTGTGGCTTTGCTGCCAGTAGAAAGTGTCCAAGTGTTTGACAGATGCAGCCTGACACCTCGTCACTCAGGAAACACACCGACAGCTGCAGAAGCTCACGTGCTGCGTCGGTCGTTTGGTGCGGGTTTGCAAACTGGAGCCAGGCAGGACTCCACCATGTGGTGTTAAATGGTCAAAGTCTTGAGTTTGACTTGGTGACCTGCAGAAACCCTGTCGCTGCTCAGTCATTCACAGGCTGTCTGTCTACTCTCCACCCTGCAGTCTACACCCTGTTTGCCTTCTTTGAGTACCTGGTGGTCTTCTCCAACATGGCCTTCCACATGACGGCCTTCTGGGACTTTGGGAGCAAAGAGGTGATTGTGGCCACGCCGCCTGAAGACAAGCGCTACTGAGCTGCAGCCTCAGCTGTTGGACACAGGTGAAAGAAGTCTGCTGGAACGTTAGTTTAAACTCCCGCTTACACCTTGAACACATGTAGGCAGCATCCTGATGCTGTTTGTTAGCTCTGCAGGAGAGATTAAACCTTCACCTGATCACCCAGCAACACCTGTGTTCTTGTACCTGCAGCTTCAGGATGGGACAGTTGGAGCCTGGTGGTGATCTGTAGGATCACAGCTATCTACGAGTTTCTGTCAAAACGATACTCGAGTCTCAGCAGTGACCTCACCTGTCACCTGCTGAGTGCATGTTTGTCTGCAGCAGGTTTTATGTGGTTATGGAAAACCTGGAAAAGTTATGGAATTGAAGAAAAATGTTTTGGACAATTGTGAAAACCCAAAATGTTTTTAAAAAGTGTAATTTTAAAATCACATAGTACATGACTGCGCTTAAGTACAGTTCTGAGCTATTTGTACCTGAGATATGCCCATACCCATGTTCTGCTACCTCTTACTGTGACATTTCTCCATATCAGAGACAAACCTGGTACTTTTTACTGCACTATCTGTTTGTTGCCTGTGTCTGTTGTGTCCCGTCACTTTGTCGACACTGAGCAGTGAACATGTGAGCGAAGTTAGCGCTGATGACTAACAAGCACACAACAGCTGAGTCGATACCACAGCGTCCTACTGCTTCAGTTTGGTCCAGTGAACACGGACAGTCCAAGTAAGAAGTAGCAGAAAATGGAAATACTCAAAAGTACCAATAGCTCAAAACTATACTTGATGTTAGTGGAGTACTTTCTATCACTGTAACATTTTACACCAGGGGGAAAAAAGTAATAGCATCAAGTAAAACGATTTTAAAAAGCAACAGTATTGATTAGGTGTTAGTAAAGAGTAAATACATTGTATTTATCATAGGACCAATAAAGGACCAAGTAGTTTCAGTTATTATGAGACTTTGTCCAGTTTGGTTGACCAGTTTGAGTTAGTGAACAGGACTGACTGGTGCGGACACTAGTACGGGCACAGTCCTGGGGATAGCTGTGAATGGTGAGGCTCTCGCTGTGGAGGGCAGACTGGGAACACTGGGGAGTCAGGAGGTTCACATTACCACTGACATCGTGTGTGCTGGATGTGAGTCACCGTCCACCTTTTGATAAAAATCTTCTTACTGCTGAGAAAAGAAACCAAACTCCTCCTTCTCCTGATTTTCTGCTGACTCAGGTAATGAATGAAATGAATGAAAGACTTTATTCTCATTGTATGCACACAATGGTACAAGCAACGAAATGGAGTTGGTTGCTCATACAAATAAAGAACGCCCAGAAGAAGATAAATAATAATTCAAACTAAACAATATAAACAGGATGAAAAAATAAAAAAAAAACAAAAAAAAAAAACATGGCTTTGTTTAGTTAAAAAGCTTCAGTGACAGAGCGACTCAGCATCTGCTCATCGTGCTGCTTATACGCTTCAGAGTAAAGGTTCAGCGTGACATCTGTGTGACCAATCGGCTCCCTCAGATAGAAACACACAGATGTCTGCAGCCGCCGAGTTGCAGCAGGGCTCTGCTCCGGCCATAGAAAGCACCGAAATTTGTGCTGTATTTGAATGTTTTAATGAAATACAGCAAAGCAACACATAAGATTTCACAGCTGACATTTTATTATGTTTAATTTACTGTTATAAATGTCTTTTCCTGTGATAAATATGAAGTCACAAGTGAGGCTTCTTTTAATGGACTGGAGGCGGCTGCTTCCCAAGTCCCTTATATGGGGCCGCGTTTCCCTCACTTGCGTCTTTTTTCCCCCTTGCGTCCTGGTCCCACCCACCTAAGACACAAGGAAAAGATGCAAGGACAAACTGAGGAACTGAGGAAGCATGATTTAATTGACACCAGACGTCCTTTCCTTCAATCCTCCATGTGAACTGGTTTCTGATAAAGGAGCTTGTCACTTCCCATCATGCTTCATGTGGTAGTTATTGTACAAACAAAAGGTCCCATTCCATTTCGTTGCACTTGTACAATGACAATAAAGAGATCTGATCTGATATGAAATACCTGCCTTCAATGCAATGGGGTCTCATTTTTGTTTATTTTAAATCATAATATGAGAGGAGAGATCAGCTTCTGTTAAAAGAAGCTTCCCATCCATGTGTGTCAGCGCCATGTACCTGGCTCTGGTGTGAACACCGCTGAGCTCCATAACTGCCACAGATGTAACTGAAATGTGAGTCACATGCACACAAGAATAACAACCAGATGGTGTGTGTAACAGTCAAATGGCCCAGTTTCCTCCCAAACTACTGGGTTACGATATGTGCCTCCCTGTTTGGCCTGATCAGAAGCTTCTCCATAAACGTCCACCACATGTCAAACATCCTCGTCTCTCCACGGACCCGGTTGCTGTCGCCACTCTCCGTGTTTACTATTACCGGTCTGTGAGGGGCCGACGCCGAATGATGACGACAGGCCATATGTGCAGAGGAGGAGATGGTAAAATGACCACATGGATTCTGATCTGACCGTTCTGACGGCACTTGCACAGTCAGAGGTTGGAGAGGAATTGGGTCTAGGAGCACATACGCATGTGGCCCAGATCTGCTCTGGTCTGTTCACACTGCTGTGGACACACCAGGTGTGTGGCACTGGGAGGTAAACATCAGCTGGGACGTGAAGAGAGCTCAGGTTTTTTTCTGAAAAGCAAGGGACAGAGTTGTAGTGTAGTCTCTCTGTTGTAATGTGTATTGTCTTCAAGCTCTGAACAAGACACAGCTCATGGAAAAAGAAATAACGTCAGCATTAGCGTTTGTGCCATCACCACAGCTCAGAGACAAATCCATCACGTTCTTGTCTGCTCCAGGTCAAAATGTGACTAACTTCCTCCTGAGGGTACAACGGCTGGGCGCCATCATGAACATCGATATTGTACAGTCTCTACAGAAATCAATACAGTTATCGATAATCGATTCATGAGAGCACATATTTCCTTGGTTGTGTGTCAAAGTTTATCTGTAAGCTTTTGTTGTGAGGATACACGGTGCCAGGATGACTTTATAGGATTTATCTTATCTCTGTATCAGAGACCTAAAAAATCTAAATATAACATGTGAAACATTTGTTTCCAACAAGATGTAGAAAGACAAGACACAACATAAAATCCTCACATCCACAGTGACAGCAGGACCTCATCCTATACAGCAAATTTACTGATTTAACAAGATGTGTCACAATAGTCCACAGAACATGAAACGCAGATGCAGAGAAAAATATGAAGACCAGTGTAAGATAAGAAACCAAACAATGTGTACACAGGAGCTGACATGGAGACATGTAGCTGGTCCACGACAGGAGGGCAGCCACAGCACGGTGTAACGGCAGCGGGGTTGTTATAGCCAGGTTTAGGTCTGCTCAGGGGCTGATGTGCAAGTGAGGGTCCTCACAAAGATACAAGGATGACCTGTTTATGAAGCTAATGTGACTCATCTGAATCCTGAACAGCGCTCGCCTGCAGTTTGTGCTTCTGAACATCCTGTACCTGTGACGACCGGAGATGATGGAGGTGGAGTGACGGAGGTTGGCGGTGTCTCTGGGTAACCCTGCAGAGAAGAACATGAAAACAGGATATAATGACCTTCAGGTGCCCTGAAGTTTCGACCTGACCTGTTGGTACAGGTTATTGTTGCCATGATGACGGCATGACGCGTCTCCACCTCTGTGAAGCAGTGTGATTTATCATGTCTCAAACAGGAAATTGGTCAGGACATGACTCAGGGTTCTTTGTCCCCACCCCGAGCTGACCGGGTGATGAAGAGGAGCAGGAGGAGCTTGTTCTCCGATTTGTGCCGACTCTGTCTCTCGCAGCCCTTTAATGAACATGGACACGTGGCATTGAACTTCTGGAACAGAAGTGATACCCGAGGTTCACAAACGTTTTTATGTTTCTTCTTTGTGAGTTGTACTGTGCACAGGTTTGGGAACTTTCCTGGGGGCCAGTCTGGTTTGACCTCCAGACATCCCCTCCTCCTCCTTCATCACTCCTCCACCTCCTCCACAGTCTACACAGTGACGTCAGCTAACACCCGATTTTGGGGTGAGGGTGTATGACTGTTTTCAGTTCAGTGCTGAAGGCCTCGAACACGGATGTGAACCTGAGCTCACATTTACTCTGAGTTTGGTTTGTGGTTCCTCTAAGCACTTTTGGCTGGGGGGATATTGTCCTGTGGCCCAAGTATTTTCTGGATTGTTACTGCAGCCATGAGGATGAAATTAAGACAGACTGATCCAGGTGCAGGTTCCTGTCCTGTTCTCAGCCCAAACATAAAACCCTCCTGGCAGGTTTTTGTGTTTAGACTCCTTCAGTAAAAAATGGAAATGTTAATAATCCAGTCGTGGGTTGGATGAGCTGAGCTGGAGCGCTGCCAAACACCTCACATTAGCATCCGTTAATTAATGTCAGCAATGAGTGCTGCTCGTCACCCACATTACAATGGCATGATTAGCATCCGCTAGGCACTGGCTGGATGCTAATGTGAGCTGGAGTGGGTCTGACACGGATGTTTAATGAGTGGACGAGGAGACGGACGGAGAACGATGGACAGATGAGTTGTCCTATCTGGTGTTTCTATAGCAACTGGTGTGAAGGGCAAAGTACTCCTGTGGTTAGTTCACTGTCTGTAGGAGTTCAGGATTTATAGGCATCCCCACTACATACAGCTACCTGAAATCTAGACCTTCATCCACTGAAGAAGACCATGAGATACAGCTGAAAGCCCAGTTAAGAGCCAGTAAGTGGAGCTTGAGTTAAGATTTTTATTAACACCGGATTTGTTTTGGCCTGAGACACTGTCACTGTTTGTGTGAATGGTGTTGAACACAGTTTGGTGCTACAGTTTGTTACCCATTCTCCTTTTTTTACTTCTGTGTGGTTTGACATTGTGAAGCATTTTGAACTGTATTTGTGCAGGAAGATCACATCATGTTGTTATTCTTAGAGCCACAGCGGTTTGAATCCAGTCTGTCACAAATTGAGCCATGACTAACCCAAACTGAAAGCTCTGGTTACGTGAATGCTGTCTGTGTTTCACTTTGAAGTGGAGCTGCTCAGTGCCCATTTCTTCACCTCTCAGGTTGGATCTTTAAACATTTCCTCCATGAGCTCTCGGAGCTGCTGACAGTGTTTATCAGTCTGAGAGCAGATCAAATGCTTGGAGATGGAGCTCAGACTCCAAGCTGTCAGTTCTTCTCTGTTTTCCCTGTGCTTCCTGTTACTGCAGCCTCATTAACAAGCTAAAACAGAAATGTTCAAGTGGGGCTCAAGTGCTTTAAATCTCTGTCTCGGTTGGTTTCAGTGGACAGAGGCACTTACCTCAGTGTGTCCAGGCTGGGGTTCAGAAATGATGAGGCCGAGTCCAGTGTTTAGTCCAGATCATTTTGAAGAGACCTAAACAATGCTGTACTTTTTCTTTGTTTAGATTTTTCTGTAACTTCATGTGTAAACGTTCAGTTCACTGAGCCGTTAAACTGAGACTGTCCTCCTGTAAGAAACAGCCCAGATGTGGCAGCTGTTTTATTCTTGTTCCACAAACGCAGCTTTTGTTGATCAGTGGTGGAATATAACTAAATACATTTACCCAAATACTACACAACAGTCCACATTTGTAGTACTTCACTTCAGAGTCATTGATATGTCCGGGCTGAATCAACATGTTGTAAATCACTGCATTCAGCCTGATGAATGTTTGTTTGGGGGGGGTTGTAGCTGAGAGACACCAGGCCCTATCCCACTGTCACTGGGGTTATTAGGCTGTGGGGGGACAATCTGAGTTGATGCAGCTTTAACTACAACTCCAGTGACCTGAAAACAGACTGACTGCAGTTTAAAACGAGTCAAAGTGAGTTTGTTGTGAAGGGTCAATGGGATTTTGATTGAATTTGAATTTGATGCATTGCATTTCCTAGCTTTTTACTGGGGGGGTTACTACCATCAGTGCTCCACTGATCTGAGGTCAGTCAGCTCTGTCTTTCTGATTCTTTTTAATGTGAAGTTGTGATTTAATCAGAAGTGAAAAGTTTGATTTTATGACCCACAATGTCACAAACAGCAGTGACTTTACAGGTAAAGATGGAAGCTCAGGAGAAACATAAGAAGGGCACCGTGATGAAAAAGCTCTCTTGTCTCAGCTAGGGTTGAAAATAGTCTGCAGAAAGTGTGTGTGTGTGTGTGTGTGTGTGTGTGTGTGTGTGCGCACACATGCACCCAGTCAACACCTTTTTAAGGAAAAACCAGAAGGAGGTTTCAGGCTGAGATTCTGCTGTCAGACTCCAGCTGGACCTCATCTCCATCCTCACCCTCCACCTCTTCATCCTGTCCACCACCTGCTGCTCTTCCTCATCTTCATCAGTAAATCTGTTGCCTTGTTTCTCATCTGAATCATGAGTTGCGTAACGAGACAACCTGCTCAGTGCTTAGAAATATAATGCTGAAACATACTCAGCTCAGCTATTTATTTTTCCCTTTATCCCTCTCTGCTCCTTCGGACAATGCAGCTCCTTCTGGAGAAACCTGAGTCACATCAGCATCTCATCTCTGCAGAACTTCATGTTTACTTTCATGATTTTAAAGCTGCCTTGACTCAGATTGTCCCCCTCAGTCTGTCCCCTGCTCTCAAATGGCGAGTTTCAAACTGAGTAGCACTCAAAATGTGGCTAGAGCGCCCTCAAATGTTGACAGTGATCTGCTTCCATAAACTATTACTGATCGTTACAAGCCATGACTCAGGGATTTTTTCTGTAGCTTGATCTTCATACAGAAATGAAGTAAAAGTGATGTCTTCCTGGAAGGAGGAAATCTGACGACTGATGGATGGTTGTAAAGAATGTTCTGTACAGATTTACAGGGTTCACTACTAATAACCCAGCAGGAGGACAGACAGCGTGTCAGAGGGATGTTCCCTCTCCTCCATTCGTTGCCCACCAGTTTCACAGGCAGCTGCTGCTTCCTGCCATGACTCGGCTCCAGTTGGAGCGGAGGAGGACAAACAGCCCCGAGAGGTAATCCATTATATCCAACTTCATGGTGCGTTCAGCGCTGCGAGAGTTTCTGCAGAGTTCAACTGCTGGCACCTAAGCCATTTAACCCACGTAGGACAGATCCTGAACTCTGAGAAGCAAAGCCTGTGACTGGACTCGTCAG